CTAAGCGTCTGAAAAGAGTAGAATTGACAGATAACATGCCAGGGGAGAACTGTACTCAGTATTCAGCGGACCAACTCTCCTGGCATGTTATCTTCCTATTTATTTGGCCAATTTCAACTCTTTTCAACCGTTTCTGAAGGCTGTTAGAGGTTATATTACCCTAAAAATTTAATTCTACATCTATGTGCGTTCAAAACAGCTCTTTGTAGCTCAAACTTAGTTAGAAAACTTATCCCGGGGCTGGAAAATTGTTATTATTGTGTGTTATTATATTTTCCCATTTATTGTATGTATTTAATATCTCCCAGGGATACCTGAAAAACAGATCAAGAGACCTGAGTGTAATCATCTGGTAAAATAAATACTAGTAACTGAAATGATTTATTTCGTATAATCCCATTGTATTGGTTTTGTAGTGAGTACTATTAATTATTTTGTATTATTTAGGTCCTTCCAAGCAAGGAGGTCTAAAATCTGATTTTAAACCTCCTTGTTCCAAGGTCCTTCCCATTCTTACATCATCAAAAACAAAAGAACCCGGTATAAATACTAGTACATATGTACTTGATATAGAAGAAAACAGGGTCAGGTATGCCCTATAGACATGCCATCACATCGGAAGCCCACGTAACCTCCATACACAGAATAGTTGGAAAGTCGCAAGACTCCTCCTCACTTTTAAAAATGTAGGACCACGGTCTGACAATTCGGGGCCGCTTCTCTGGAAGCCTCTAGTTTCCAGCGACGGTGTCGGTGCCAAACTGGTGCGAAGTTGTCCTGAACCCATTGGTAGCCATGTGTGACGTTCTCCCGGCTTCTTCTCTTGAAATCGAGACATTTTCCTGACACCTATGTACTACTATCATCGTCAGATATCCGAGAAAGGTATATAGTGTTGCCTTTGCAGGTGCATGTTACTACAGACAAGTGATAAAAGAAAACAAGGACGTGTTTTTCAACACGAGGTGAAGAAACAAGATAGAAGGCGTAATATATTTTTAAATATAAGGCCTTCAGTTGTGAAAGGTGGTACAAAATATTTCGAGTTTGAAACAACGAATAATCTGAGCGACTGAACTGAGACGAGACGAAATATGAGCCTTGTAGATCAAACCCAACGTTGGTGGTTTGACAGTTATGTCCGTTCTCGCGCGTTTTTGCGAAAGCTCAATATTTGGAGGGGAAAGTGTCGGTAAAGTGTCGGCTGGCGGGAACACTTTCATCCGCAAACTTCCTCGGAGGACGCAGGGAACGAGTCAACACGGTTTCCATGGCGACGCCATGGCGGACTGACAGGAGTCACGTTCCCATCGCCTGACTGTGTACGTAGGTGCGGGGTCGTATTTTCGTCTCTCGCCTCCGCTCAAATATATGATGGTTGACTCGCTCTGTCAAGGTTATAGGTCACTAGCGGCCAGTCTCCAGAAAAAAACAACAACGCGGGTTCAAAAATAAGTATAGTTTAGCCAAATATGGAGAATAATTGGCCAGGGGATCTGAGCCACGTACTGTAGAGTTCATTTGCCTAAAATTAAACGTAACCTTGACGGTGCTGACTTTCCTGACCATTTATACTTTTCCTCTTTTTTCTACGATCCGTACCCCCGTAGGAAGGCCTGGTAGAGGCTAGTTTCTGCCAATGATCTACTATTTTAGAAATTTGACAGCCAGGGCTACCATGACGCCGTGTTGACATTGTTTTGTAATGAGCTTTGATAAGGACCGTAAAAGCGGTAGAATTTTTGATTCAACGGATAGCAAAAGCTTTTCGTGGTTGCGTTGACCACACAATACATGTCTTGATAGGATATGTGTGGTATTTTCTCCTACAGTTTTAGTGCAGCGCTAACTAGCTGTGTGGGACCGTCCCCCGGCTAACATTACGACGTCCAGCGGTTGGTCTCACCGCGAACTTGTTGACAAGCTCCTCGGCAGGTGTCCACCCTGACGACCGCCCGAACCACGGCCACGTCAGCCCCCCAAATCAGAAACACATGTGAGCAATAAACGTGTACGTGGGACGGGTGGGTGCCAACTTGCCAGGCCAATCATTAGGCCACCGAACAGAAGAAACGCGGTAAAAATATCGGCCCTTTTCACACCTCGGTGCTCGTAGCTCGCGCGTAATTTCTTTCATTTCCGTGGGAAATTTGGCAACTCGAAACCAGGATAAATCGGACAGCGATATCGATGGGAGATAAAGAAAAGCAGAGGCTCGGGCTTAATTTTGACGTGTTTATGCGTTATTATTTGTCTTTCTTACTTGTGCTGGCATCATTTATTACGCCAGGCAAACTATACTAGTGGCAAATGGTAACTGCCTGGATACTGTCTTGAAAGCAACTTTTGTTGTTTTCTTTTACTTGTCAATAAATTTGCCAAACGATTTTTACGATCAAAAACACACACGAACAGTACAATGTATTTTTTTAACTTGTATTCTGTTATTGAGAAAATTACGTCGTAGAGAAAATAGACGCAACTGGGCTACAACTTACAAGACTTTATAAAATTATATCTATTCGTGTTACAAATTGCCTATTAGACAGACACGTGCTTGGGAAATTAGATATCCCATCATTTGGGTCACTGGGGAGAAAGGGCGAGGGGGGGAGACAGTCTCCTGGGTGGAACAACGATTTGTCTCCCACATGTCGACCACAAATATTATCGTGGGAGATATCGGGGTTTCCTGATCCACTTCTGTGTAAAGCCACCACACACGTTTGTTTCCTTATGCAAAATGGGCGGGAAAGAAAATATTGTTCCTCACAACGAAGCATTATCGCCTGGAAACATCGTGTGGTGAGGACAACGGTCGAGAGATTCGTGCAAAGAAATTGTGTAGTCTTTTAGCTGCTGAAAATGGTGCTATTGAACCTGATACGTGCACTTTTGTTCTGAAATTTTCTTTAGGAAATAGCAGTTATCTCTCGCCATGCTTTTTGTGTTGGGATTTAATAAAAACGTGATAGCAACTGGCCAAAAAGGGGTAAAGAATGGTCACAGAATACAGGTTTTCCACCAAATTTCTGGTGTAGACTTCTACACCCGTAGTTCTCAGGTTTAGAAATAGACTACACGAAAACCTGGCTACTAATCTCCAAGCAGATGATTTGGTGTCTGCAAGACAGCATCAAATTGGCAAGAGTCAGTATGAAATTGGCAGTGCAGTACTAGTATCCATTTGCCACCTGAAGCGTAAAAAAGGATACCAGTACAAAAGGAAAGCCGGTTAAACGCCTAAAATCCCGTCCAAGCCAAGGCCTAAAACCTCTGCTTGGAGAGCAGACCTTCAGGCGTGGGTCCGTCTGTGGTAAAGTGGGTAAAGACCCGACGATGACATAATTACTCCCAGGAGACGAGGTCGTCTGCCCGGTCTCTACGGGAACTAAGCACTTTACTGACGGCATTCAGACATGGGCAAGTTTTCCCACACTTTCTACACACACGTGTGTCCTCTCCCTAAAAAATGATGTCCTTGGAGAGTTTGTCAGGTAAAAGAAGCAATACATTTTGTTATAAAACAGGAAAATGCTCCAGATTTTACTAAACTTTTGAACAAAGCTAGGAATTGTTAACTGATCTACTATCAAGATCTGGTAATCCGCGGAAAATTGTGGGATGAGTCGCTGATTTTCCGAGACAAATCCCTTACAATTAGTCCCATCGACCGTGCGCAGAAAAAACACACGCACACTGCAGGACGGACGACTTTGTGTTATTGTAACTGGCTAGCCGGAACCGTGGCAAAATTCTACACCTATAATAATAATAGAACCATGAACTTACTTTTAAGGAGCTTTAAATTGATTTTTAACCTTCTTGCTCCTTGGTAGGACCAACACCAAGTTTTTTTTCTAACCTCCTTGTCCTTATCATACCAAGGAAGCCTACATAACCTACTTCTTGATAACACCACATTCCACAGAAAGTTATGATATTTTTGAATCAGACCTTATTGCTTTAATTTCTATATACAAATGCATACCATTGTATGTCAGGAAAATATTAATTTTTTTGTGACTAAGTGGCATTTTTCTTACGTTTATAGTAGATATCACACAACTGAGATGTCCTAACGCTCCGTCGGTAAGCGTGCGGAAGGGATTTGAAAAGTGGGACCCGCAAACTTCACAAGAGCGGGACAATTTTACTTCAGCTGATTATCCGCCACTTGACATTTTATTGTTGCTTTGTTGTTCGCCATAAAGACCACAATAGCGACAATATCTCAGCTTCCTGAGAACTGTTTGTAAACAAACAAGGAGGCCGGCATGTCAGGCCCGTGAGAGTGCATCATGTATGTTGGTAGTTTTTGTTACAGATGAGGAAAGAAAAAACACACAGCTGTTAGGATTGGAGGCTACTTGTAACGTCAGCAGAAGTGTGGAAACGGGAAAAGCGGTTGGAGAAGTTGCCTGGTTCCGTGGATTTGTCAGGGGGACGACAAGTGCGAAGTTTCTCACAGCCGGGTCAGATTCACCGCGGGACCGGCTAATGAGAACGGCCAAGTCCAGATGACTGGCACTTTGCCGTCAACTAGCGGCGACAAAGTGACAGGATGACAGGGACATGCATGACAAAGGCGTCGTACAACCGACAAAGGGACGGTGATGACAGGAGCTACGGGGAAAGGGCGCCAAAAACTAAAATTATCTGTAGATACTCAGACATTCAAATTGGCACGAAATAAATAAATAAATGAAATGATAAAGAAATATTGAAAAACTTGATAGCAACATTATATCTATACTTCTTGTTTAGGTCATGTACAGTTTCAGTTGCATTTTTTATTACTATCAGCTACTTTTCGTTGAATTTGTAACTAAAAATTACAAACGAAGCCAGTCGGAATGATAGGCGACAATCATAGCCGTCAATCAAGACATGCTAATTGTGTCGCCTCTGCCCGTGGCGCCGCCAATCAGAAGCGAGAATGTCCGCCAAGGGGCGTGGCCTGTGGTCTGTGTCACTCTCCGGGACTCCCACGCATAAATCAGCGCCCCACCAAGTACAGTAACAAATGCTCATCTTCATTCATAGGCACCAGTGTTTAAATACCGCCATCGACTCTCTGTTCCTCAGTCTAGCTCACGACTTCCTCAGTGCAGCACTTCGATCGTCAGACGACCTTCTTCAGCTTTTCTTTCTCTCGTGATCATTCCCGTGGATACTCCTGTACCGTGCACCATGAAGCAGACCCCGGACCAGTTCTCGGTGAGCCACCTCCTCAGCGCCGTGGAGAGCGAGATCTCGGCGGGGTCGGAGAAGGGCGACCCGACCGAGCGCGACCTGAAGGTGACGCTGGGCGAGAAGCCGCTCTGGGAGAAGTTCAAGTCGCTCACCAACGAGATGATCGTCACCAAGAGTGGAAGGTGTGTTTTAGCTTCTTAGTTTCTTGTGTTTTCAATGATTACGAGTAGTTAAATCTGTTTCTGGTGTCCGTCGATTTTCTGTGCAGCTAGCCGGAAGTAAACAAGTCATTTCATTTTTGTGAGCTGTTAGAACTTCGTCCTTATTCAAGTAACAGCCCAAGACATCGTTTTATGTTTCTCTCATGCCATAAGATGCCATTTTGTACAATAAACAAGGAAAAACTTCATTCTTCATGTAGCAAACAAACGCCTGTAGTAACCATATGTTTTATCGCTAGAATCGATCTCTGAGCCTGAGGTAACTTAGCCAACGGACTGAACCTAACGAAATGTTTTCTATCTGTCCCCCACAGACGCATGTTCCCCGTGCTGAAGGTGAACGTGTCCGGGCTGGACCCTAACGCCATGTACTCCTTCCTGCTGGACTTCACGGCCGCCGACAACCACCGCTGGAAGTACGTCAACGGCGAGTGGGTTCCCGGCGGCAAGCCCGAGCCGTCCGTGCCGAGCTGCGTCTACATCCACCCGGACTCGCCCAACTTCGGCGCGCACTGGATGAAATCACCTGTGTCCTTCAGCAAGGTCAAACTCACCAACAAACTCAACGGAGGTGGACAGGTAAGCTAGCAAAATTCCCTTCTTTCAATCTCCTGTAATTAGATAAGTCCGCACCTTGATTTTTCCTGATTTTGACGGACAGCGTTTGGTCTGATAGCGTACAATGTTATTGTCAAGCCTGAAAGTAACTCAATTTCCAAACTCGATTATACCTCAAATCCTATCAGAATTCTACAAAGCTATTGTATCCTAATCAGCGTCAATTTTTGTTATGACATTTGTTCAACGCCTCTCGCGTGTCGCCTGTTAGCGCGCCGGGTTTTCGGTGTCTACTTTGTGTAATTGCCGTAATTTTCCGCGATCGCTTCCTTGGGTTGGGTTTCGTTAACACATCCATTAAACATGATTAAAACGACGTCTTACATTTCCCCAGAACTAGAACAACTTCTGTTGTCTAGGAGATTTATATCCAGTCTTCTTGTACGTTCTAACAGTTGATATTCTTTGCCCTATCTCTAGCAGATAATGTTGAACAGCCTGCACAAGTATGAGCCGCGCATCCACATCGTGAAGGTGGGAGGGCCGGACAACCAGAGAACCCTCAGCACACACACGTTCGCCGAGACACAGTTCATCGCTGTCACTGCCTACCAGAACGAGGAGGTGTGTATTTTTGTCTTCATTCCTTTTTTCATTTGACAGCTCTGAATTGGCTGTGGTGTATTTGTAACTCAATGAACTGCAAGTAGTGAGAATCAAGTAGTGTTCTTTCTTTCCTTCACACTTCATTTATGTGTTTCTATTCTTTTTTTCAACAGCTGACTGCTCTGAAGATCAAGCACAACCCGTTCGCCAAGGCATTTCTGGACGCCAAGGAAAGGTACGTATGGTTTACATCTGATCTTCATCTTCACACCATCTGGTAAATACTTTTGTAAGGAGGACTTAGGAGATAGGTGTGAAGCATAAAGCCGAGTGGACGACGCTTTGTCTCCGTCTTGTTTTCATTATTAGCCGGTCAATTCGCGCTCTTTTGCCCGGTGTTTGACACCTCGGTGTCTGTGGCCATAAACATGGCGTGGGAAAGAGTTTGGTTGTTTGTCTACGTATTATTTGTGACTCAAAGTTTTCTTTATCTGTTTTTCCTAACAGGAATGACACAAAGAGTGGACATGACGACCTGACCGACCAGCAGCCACAGTTTTCACAACGTGAGTTTATATTTGCATTTGCAACTTGTGTTTGTAGTTTTGGCCAGTCTACACCTTTTAAATTTGGTACATTTTAGCATTTCGTGCTCTGTTTGCAATTATCTCACAAACAATGGCAAGGCAAACATAACTGGAAAGTTCAAAGACGCGGGATCCGATAAAGAAGTAACCGACACACGTTTTTGACAATCTACGCTCCTAAACAAATCACAGTTTTCACACCTCCGGTCCATGCTTTTTGAATCACAGCTAAACGCGTTTGCCCGGTCATGAATTTGAATCGTTGTCGGTGGAGTTCTGAGGCGAACCTGAAAACGTATCGATGTCAAACATGGCATTGTTCCGTCTGACGACCAAGCTGTGAACTCATTTCAATAAAAATTACTTTTAAAGTGACGCGGCGCCAGTGACCAAAACTTGTAAAAATGATTGTATTTTTTACTACTTTTGTTGGGTTCTAATGTTGAATCTTGTTGTCTCTCTCCAGTCGGAGGCTGGTTCCTGCCCGGTACGGGTCCCATCTGCCCGCCGCCCAACCCTCACCAGTTCGCCCCGTCCCTCGGCCTGCCCAGTCACGGCTGTGACAGATACAGTACTCTGAGGAACCACCGCTCGGCGCCCTACCCGCACCCGTACCAGAGAAGCTCGCCTCCAAGTAAGTATTCTTTCCATCTCGGCATTCCATCACTTCCAAACTTATGATGTACTCTACTCGGAGCATGGAACGCACACGTGCACATTACGCATATGGTGTCCTTTGTTAGGCCGTAGCTTTGTTAGTGTAATCCACTTCTTTACAAATTGAACCCTGTAGTTGTTCATTGTTGGATGCATGCTAGCTTATCTTGTAAATAGGTGTTCTATTTTGTGTTTGAAAGGGGGACTCAAGTGTGGAGAAATGTACACCCAATTTTCGCTACGGGACCTCCAAACTTGTTCAAAGTAGTATTTTTTTCATACTTGAATGTAGATATGAGAGTGTAACCAATTTTTTTCTTGTTTTCTCTTCAGCGAACTACGGCCACGACACGGCTGCCAGCCTTCCCATGATGCCGACGCACGACAACTGGTCCGGCCTGCCTGTCTCCACACACAACATGCTGTCCATGTCAGCCATGCCTCACACCACCACATCCACGCACGCGCAGTACCCCAACCTCTGGTCCGTCTCCAACAACAACCTGACGCCCACCACGCATGCGCAGACGCACATGTCCGGCACCATGGGCACGGGTCTGCCGCACCAGTTCCTGAGGACCACCGCGCCTGCGCCCTACCATTCCATCCCCACCTGCACGGTGCCGACCACGGCGTCCAGCTCTCCGGTGTACCACGACTCGCACGAGGTGTCTTCCACGGACAGCGGGTACGGCCACTCCACTACCCCGCCCGCCACGCAGACAAGGATACCCGCCAACAACTGGAGCCCCATGACCATGCCGTCCATGTAAAACTCTTCTCAACTGTACTTCATGCACAACAACGACCAAAGACAATCCTTAACGTGCTACAAATGTACTCAAAACAATGCCGTCAATCTTGCCAAACGTACCAAAGAATGCCTATATTTATTGTACATATAGTTCGAACGTAATGAGCCACTTTGAAACGAAATATGTCTCTTCATGCGGAAGAATCGTAACACTTGTGCAAGTGTCATTCCGACGATACATGTCTCAAGGAAAAGTTCATTTTTTCTGTACATAGTGTAAAGTTCAAGTAAAGACGTTTTGTCTAACATATGTGCTGATATTTATATACATAAACGTTTATTTTTGTGTGGTAGAATTGTAGTTGATGTAAATAAAAGAAGTTGCTTGGAAAAATACATTGGAGTTGTTTGACTTCCTTATTGTAGACTAATTACAATATAATAGTTTCTGGTTGCAAAGAAGATATATCAGTATTAACTATAGTATAGACCATGGTAGAATTGAGATAGTTAGATTGAGATACTAGTAGTTAAACACTGTAGTAACTGGTCGAAAGTACTAGTACTTTTTTGCTGGATCTGTCATCTAGATAATGTTTCTAATTCACTCTATCTATACTAGACTTAAATAGTGAATTGAAAACACTAATTAGTTGACAGATCTAGCAGATATCAGTTACTACAGTTTGTAACCACGAATGTAATACGTCCACCGCGAAGTACGATGAATTTGATTGCTGTATTCAATTGAGTGATGCTCCAGACATCGTTAAATATAATACAAGTATGTTTCCTAGCTTCGGTTGTTTTATGGATGCACTGAGTGAGTTTCAGGCACAGAAGCCGCTCACCGAAAGACATTTTTGTAAAAGGGCAACTTTTCGACACTTCAGTATTTCGATATACCCAGATCTCGACTGCATTTCTTTAATTTTCTGTCAGCTGTAGTCCCTTTCCCATTGTCATTATAAGAGACCCTGCGTATATCCCCGTGGGGTCACAAACAACAAGCCAGGGACAGAAAAGGTAGAACAATAACACAGACACGGAGACAAGACGGAACAATAGGACGGCCTCATTCGCACCTTGTAGCGACCCTTTCACAGGGTAAACCGTACACGGGGCCTTTGTTAGGCACGCTCCGCGCGGACTTGTGAAGTCGTGCCGACACATGTCAAATTCAACGATTTTCGGCGCCCTTCAAAGGGGAAATTTGCAACGCGAAGGACCAAATGCGAGCCAGAACAGATGTCAGGGTTCAACCGTGAACTTTTGACCGGGGACAGGGACGAATATCCGGCTCCAGGAGGTCTGAAATTATTGTGTGGCGAATCTAATCAGAACACCTAGTAAAATCAAGAAGGTTATCTAGCTACCTATAACTTCCTTGGTGAAATCAAGGTGAAATTCAACTACAAGTACATACTAGTAATCTGCGAGACAGTATCAAATTGGCAATGCCTGGAAAAATGACCACCGAACTAAAAAGAAAACACGATAAAAACTTAAACACGTCAGACATAAGCCCAAACCTAAATCCGGCTTGGAGAGTAAAATTCAAGAACCTTCATAAGAAATATGTCTTAACTTTAATTAATGAAAAAATGATGTGAAAGAGCTGATAAGAACAGCCAACAAGAAATCTGCGTTTGAACTAAAAATTGATCAGAGAAAAGCAACACACCGTGAAGAATAGAATGCTAGGCAAAATTCAGAGATATATTCTAGAATAATAATGTTGTAGTTCAGTTCAGTAGACAACGGTACACAATACAATAGACAATAGATAAATACGTATATTATATTTTGGTCGCGTGTCTTTGAACTGCTTTGTCTTCTCCCTTTGTCCAGTGATATTGTCTCTCCTAGCCTCTACCAGGCTTCGGGAGGCGGCTGGAAGAGTAGAAATCGGCCGAATAGAGAGATAACATGTCTGGGGAGTTTGTCTGCGGGGAGAAAACATTTTGCCGCACCCGGCATGTTATCTCTCTATATTTGGCCGATTTCTACTCTTTCCAGCTAGCCGCCTCCCGAAGCCTGGTAGAGGCTATGTCTCTCCCCCAGCCGCTGCACTTGACCAAAGACACGCGACAAAGACAAGAACGTCTCTCGAACTGCAGCGAACAATTAGCAGACAAACTCACACGGTCATGACATCGTACTTCAGCTGTTGATAATTTAGAAAGACCACGAGAACAGGAAATAAGATTGGTTTTAAACAGCTGAGTGCAAAACGACATAAAAACCCATCGTCAACGATCAGAAGATTTATGTACTAGTAGATGTAAAATTAACAATTCCGTGTGTATTCGGTTTTGTAACGTTTGAACTTGTTTATGCCCATGGGGCTAAATACTGATGATGTATATGAATAGTGATAAGGGATAAAGGTATAATAACGCAAAAGGTGCTACTCTTTCTAAGAAACAAGGAAATAAATCATTGGAAATAAATTCAGCAAGTTTTTCTAGTGTGTGGGCATTAGTGGTAAAATAACTGTAAAATCTTTCAATGCTGCTAAGAATTGAATAGGCAAATATGCTAATAGCCTACTTGCACTGCACCATACATTTTCAAAAACCCAGCAGCATTTTATTTCTTTCTCTGTCTCGTTTTTTTTTCTTCCCGCGTGTTTTTGAAGTGTCCTGGCCATGAGACTTGACAAGATAAATGGTTGTATTTACCGTGGAAAGGCGAAGCTCCTACTGAGTCAACGTTTACCCAAGGTTCTCAGTGGGATGGCACCCCAAAATCTCCAACTATCTTCAAACAGTCGTTAATTAGGTTGATGTGGCGTGAGCGGGAGAAAGTCAACCTCGAGACAGCACACGTTTTCACATCGGCATCTGGGTCGGGTGACTTCGCACCCAGCCGACCCCGCCTTTTCCCTAGTATGTTCCCTCCGTGAGACCTGATCAGAACTTGTCTTCATACATTGCTACACCTTGTTTTGCAGACTGGTAATATGGACTTTGTCTTACTCGCCAACATTGTACCCATAGAGTTAGGAGAATGATAATTGTACCTAATCACGCTTTGTAGTTCACAGATACACATGTACAGATCAACTGAAAACTAACAAAGCCAGAGGACGCAAATGTAATCAAAAGCTAGCTGCACTGTTGAACTCAATCTAAAGTCGATGAAAGCTCCTTGGTAGTTTTAAGAATAGTTTTAAGTTATGATTATGAGGAATCTTCATAAGGAATCTTATCTGGAAATCTATAGCAATTTCAACAACAATGCAAGTTGCAACCATCTAAAAATTTAAGTAAAATGCTACTTCATTTGCCTCATGGGTATAACATATAAGATAGGATTAAAAGTAGTATTACTAGTATGCCGAAAAAGTTACGAGGAGAAATATACCTGTATAAACACAACGATAATCGTATAGTATATTCTTTCATTTGGAAGAAAATACACTGTGTTTTTTCTGCAGAATCCTGGCTGCTATGTTGAAGCCCATGTCGCGGGCGGCTGCCCGACACGGTATCGTCCCTCCGCCAAGTTAGCCGTAAGTTGGTGAGAACTTGTCAGGAAACCATTGGTGATGACGTGCGACGTTTTCTCGTCTTATTCGCCACGACTCGAGAAATGTTCAGCCCGCCAAGGTGTTGGAGAGACAAGCTACTTTAAATATCACATAACAGCCGAACCTTTAATACCCATTCCTACAACAGATATAGAAAATCTTTATCAAAGACACATTTGAAGCATCTCTGCTGGACAGATGTCTATAAGAAAGACGGGATGAGTCATAAGATGGCCACGTAAGGAGTTTTACAAGAACGAGAGGCTTCTTCTCTGTTTGTCTGGGGAGAAATCGGAGTTGACTCATCTGAGGAATCTGTGAAGAGACAATATTGACCAGCGCAGTCACAGTTCTGTGTTAAAAGTTGGCGTCATCGTGAACGTGCCTTTTCTGTCTCCTGGGTCTCCAGGCGTAAACAGGACAGAAAACAGGACACTTTTATCTGAGTCGGCAGTTTCATGTTCAAGGTTAGATCAAGGACATTTACATTTAGATATAAGCCGGAGCAGGCAGACACTTCCATTTTTGTCACAAACAGTTCACGTGACCAAACAAAACTTTTAGATAAACATATTTCACAACAGTTATAATACCTACATGGATATTTCTGATTAAGACACAATATGAAAACATAATCGTAATATGTTTTGATCTCCAACAAGGAGGTTTAACTCCATGATCACCAAACAGATCTTTTAGTGGCTGAAATAAAAGTATTAAATTGGCCAGACCATGTACATTTACCACTCAGTTACTCTTTGCCACCCGAGAAAAAAAGATACCAGTACGATATTATTTGAAGAAAAAAACACGACACAAGTCGAATCGTAAACCTTTGGTGGGAGAGTGCGTGTTTATTTTTTTTGTTTTCATTGCTATGCTCCCCCTCGTACGTACATCGTATGCAAAGTGATATCATAAACAGTGGTAAAGTACGTTACACAGGAGTATTACCTTCTAATCTATCGCACATTCTCACCTCCGAACTAATAGTTTACAAGTATGTGCCTGTTGATGACGTCATCCCGACACCTGGATGACCCCTGCCATTTCAGGTGAGTCTCCCGTGAGAGACCCCACATTTTATACTCTCCAAGCATAGGTTTGGGTTTTGGGTTATTTTTGGCGTGTTTTAGGCTTTTTTGTCGGGGTTTCTTTTCTGCACCGGATTTTTTTTTCACCCAGCTGGGTTGGATTCCAGTGCAAAAAAGAAACCACGATAAGAAAAGCCTAAAACACGACAAAAATAACCCAAAACTCAAACCTCTGCTTGGAGAGTACAGATTTTAGGAACCCTTCCGGTTACCGGGTACTGGCGGAAGTCGTGACCCAGTTCGACACCGGGATTGGCTGAGAAAACAGCGAGCTTCCTTAAATAGTTATGCATCAAGATCTGTCAGAAGTTTGAAGGAAAGACGGGGAAATAAATGGTGTTGATCTGGTGATGAGGATCCCATTTATCAACGACGATTTATTTATTTAGGACTACACTTTAGGCAACAGTTCTATTAAAGGCAAAGGGGAGGGGGGAAGGTAATGAAAATAATTCTCCATCCGTGTATGTTATTCCACACCGTGCATTGCTATAAAAATAGTACTTCTGGTTTCTTATATATCTTGGTTAATCAATACCGCTATCCAGTGATCTTCAGATAATATGGAACAATGAACTCCAATGTTTTATTCCGATGTACATGTATTAATAAAGCAAATTTTATTAGTACATGTATCATATTTTCGGATGAGTAATTTTCATAAACGTAAGTAACTCCTGATTTCGTTTGATTTTCAGTGTCTCGTTCTCATCTATTTTCCCAAAAGCCGGGCGACTTGAAACTTGAAAAGGATATTAATTGTTTTT